CATACCTGTCAGAATAAAGGTTATTCTATTGGTTAAGTGAACCGTTAAGCGCAATAGATAACATCTAAAGAGGTCATTCGAATAAACACTCTTCGTCACACATCAGCTTCAAAACGATGTGACTGCTTGCCTTTCGTAAAAGCTGTGCTGAGTCTCTTCAGGTCGCGAGTTATGGTCGAGACTTGGGGCATGTTGGTATGACACTGATTAGGGTCTGACTCAGGTCGTTGAACCTATTAGAAAAAACCACATCAGGTCGCTAGTGTAGTTCTCAGGGATCCATATAGCTCGATCAACTCAATCAAGCGTCATTCGGGACAAGTTGAGTTGTGGCATAATCATGAAGTTCTCAAGGTTCAATCCTTAAACCTTAAAAACTGGGGAGCTTCTGTTATGCCCAAAAAACCAGGGCTGACGTGAGCTTAAATCAAGAAAGACCAATAAGAATTCAGGAAGGTTTTCTGCCGTTTGGATGCAGCCACGTCCCGCAAGGACGAAAAGGGTAAGGCCATCGTTAGTGAAGCAAGTGAACGTCAGGCTTATGAGTGGCTAGGAATTGTCCACCTACTGAAGCCCCACGCGATTTAAGGATATCTCTCGTGCAGACAACCAATGGAAAGCAGGTTATGAATTGTAACATACCTGCCCGCACGCAAAATCATGATTACCAGCTTGAATCCTCCAACTATAAATAGAGGGCTCTCCTCTGTTTTATGGAATTGGTTCATCAACCGCTCAAAACATATATTCACTCTCTCGCTCTCTCCCTCTACATTTGTTTTCTCTATTGTAATCCAACTCGTCGAGTGCGACCTGATTATAATCACCCATTAATATAATTATAGTGGACGTAGTATTCGCCTTAGAGCATCCGAACCGCTTTAAAAATTGTTACCCGTTCAATATCTCTTTTTGTACTTCCATATCACGTGTGATTTCTAAGTCCACTTATTACTTCACATGCGTGAATAGTTGGTGTCAAAATCAAGCATCAACAAACTTCTCTAGCCATCTCTTGTTTTAATTATTTCTCTATTTCCAACTATCATATTATATGTGTCAGATTGTCACAATTTTCATCAGCAAGCCCTTTTCTCACTGACCATTAGTTAGATTATGTCCTGTGGTGGTTAGTATTATACTAAACCATTTTTTCCCTCGTTTTACCAATTTGCTTATAGGTGGTGGGGAATTATACACTTGGGGCTCCAATGAGAATGGCTGCCTTGGTATCGGGTATCTTTCATTTCGAGATTTTCTTGAACCTATCTTAGCTTGTTAATTTTAAAACTTGCAATTAAAGTTTTAGTTGTTGAAAACTGATTTCCTTTATGGTAATGTAATTTTTGTTACCAGTTCTACAGATGCCTTCAAGGTCCTCTTTCTAGATCTCCTGTCTACAAGGTATTTGCTACAGTATACTCATAAACTTTCATCTGGTTGTACACTGCGCACGATAGATGGAAATAACATGAAGATTATGTTATTTTAATTGATGATGTGACTGGTCCATCCATATTTTTTCGGCGAAGTCATGCTTTAACTCCATTTATAAATGATGCTTTGACTTATCCATCCATATTTTTTTGCCTAGTCATGATAAAACCCTTTATAAAGGAGGGAAAAGCTTGACCACCCAATTGTTAATAGGTCTACTCCGTACATGATACATCGTTACTTTATATTTGATATTACATTTGCAGGTCTCTTGTGGCTGGAAGCATACAGCAGCAATCTCCGGTAAGAGCTTGTTTTGAAATATAAGGCTTTTGTAGCATAATACTTTTGTCTAAAAATCGGAATGTTGGACATCAGACAAAATAATTTGTGTGCCTGTGTGTGCCACTTGCTTGCACAGTTTTAAAGGAGCTCCCTTATGTGCTGAAAAAGTATGGCTGCTTTGCGTTCTTTTGATAAGAAGCAAAAAACTAGTTTCAATATAGAAGAAGAGCACGAAGGAATGAAAGGAGAACAAGAGTCCGTCCCAAGTTCTTAAAGCTAACCTTGAAGAAACCTATACAGCATATCAAACAATGAAGAAATCAGCTGAAAACAACACTCTCCTGTGCTTTTGAAAATTCTTGAAATGAAAGCTGATTTGCAACCCATAATGCAGCGAAATACATATCTGCTTTTCAAATTATTTTCAACTCTTACTTTATTTTTAAAACTCTACTATTTCTTTTTTCCATTCCTAGTGCAATGTTTTTATGGTTTTCCATAAATAAAAATCCACCTTAGTTGTTGAGAGAATCCACCTCACGACCCCATTTAAGTCTCAATTTAAAACTACTATTAATATTGGTTGTTCACCTGAATATACGAGATTATTATTGTTATGTTTTTTTACGCTCAAATTAGTGATCATTTATGTTTTGTTAATCTCTCATAACTATTATTCACTTTGCTCAAGTGAATTTCCTTTCATGATGTTTCTTTGGGTGTGTTTGTATCCTCTAATTATACTTAAGCCTATTTTGTTTGATTAACTTTTTTTCCCCTTACTACTGAAAATTACATGATAATGTTTTTACTGGCAATACTCATTACATGACTTAATATTGAAATATTTCTTTTTGACTCCTGGACTTCAATGATGTGAATTTGTCGTTCATATTCAGAAGGCAACGTCTTCACCTGGGGCTAGGGTGGTTCTCATGGAACATTCTCTGAAGATGCGCACTCGTCTGGTGGACAATTGGTTTGTTTCCAACTTTCTTATATAATCTTTCAATTGTTATTTGGTCTACAAGAAATATATTATATTATGATAAAATTAATTTTATCAAATATTATTTTGACACGAGTAATATAAGTATTATGACAAAATAAATAAACATTACATTAAGTATGACAAAAAGAATATATAATGACTAAAAAAATATTGTTATAATATTTTATCACAATAAAAAAACTCATAAAAAATATAATAAAAGAAAACATTTTTATCATAATATTTTGTAACAAATTTTTGGCGTCTAGGTAAAATTATTTTTTGTGACAAATATATTTTATCATAAAACATTTTAGTTATTAGATTTAGTTATATATACTATAATTACAAATTAATTTGTCACAAAAGAATTTATTTATTAAAAAAAAATTGTCATAATATATGCTGAAATAAAGGCATTAATTACAAAATGTTTGAGTCAAAATTTAATTGCTGAGATAAATTATCAAATTTATATTGGTGTTACGGCTTTCTAATTAGCGTGTTGATTGAGCCATTTAGACTATGCTACTATCTTTATATACTGAATTGATTTCATGTATGATGAGCTGCTTAATAGAGGCATAAGACGTTAGATGGTATTGTTGTTCTGGTGTGATTATTTTACCATTTTGTTATCAAATTATCCAATGGAATGGGTGCAACGACATATCATTAGGCCAAGCCAACAGTGGACCCTTTGTAATTTAGATTTTCATTTTTGCTATATTTTTATTTATTTTTACAGAAAAATACAAAAAGGCCACCAACAGTTATCTACCATTTAAGGGGCTTTTTATTTTTTGATCTTAAGTCTTAATAAGTCTAGTTTTACTTGATTTAGACGTTTTAGGTTTGTCTATTTTTTAGATTTTATCTGATAATCAAATAAAATAAAAAAGCCAAAAAATTTGGCTTTTATCTTAATACTAAAACATCTTAATTAATATCATTTTTATTTGTCAATTATATCCCTATCAAATTTAAATAATTTCATTTTTATCAAAATCTTTATATTATATATTTTTGTCTTTTTTGTTTATCATAGTTGCACAAATCAAAATCAACCATCAAATACAATCAACAATGGTGGAGCCACATTCACCCAGAAAAAATTTTAAATTTAGTATAGAAAAATATGATTTTACTCCCTATAATTTCTGGCCACCAAAATTTTTGAAAGTAACACTTTAGCCCCTATAAGTGTAACTTTCTAATTACTTTCTAGCTCTATCATTCAGTAAACATTATATTCTAGCGTCCTCAGAATAATTTTTTTGGCTCCGCCCTTGGCAATTAACTTGCTTGGAATAATTGATCAAATGTTCATGTAACAATTGTGAGACCAAATTGAAATTTAATTCTTTCAATGATCTAATTAATTTTGTTGTTTTTAATTTTGTTGTTATAATAAAATTTTAATTACTATACAAACACAATGTAATAACATAGTTATCATTAATTATTATATCTTTATTTTATTTGTTATTTTTGTAATTTGAAATAACATAGTTATCATGCATGTAAAATTTTAAAAGTTACTTCATAAAGACATATGTGTCAAAACACCAATAAAAACAAACAATCAAACACTTATAATTAGACAATGAAAAAGAAAAAATATTAGAATAGTATATTCAAACATATTCAATAATCAGGATCATTTAATTTTCAGATAAAAAAACAAATACCACCTAAATTTTAAGTTATATTAATTTTAAAATTAATAGAACTTTGAGTGTGAAATGTATTGTTTAGCCTACAATAATCAATTTCTTTAATCAAGATATTTAAATTTGTGTTTTTAAAGTGTTTGTAATATTTTTCACAGTCGAAAAGCAAATTTGTGCTTAATCTTTAATGTTTCAATATTGAAACTAAAATATTTTGAGTGAAAAGACCTTCAATTGGTTCTATAGAAAGTAATTTTCTTCAAAAAAATATTCTCTCATTTATCGACTTTACTCCAATTAAGATGATAATTTCTTAATTAAATCGTATTATTAGGATATTATAAAAATCTGTTTTCAAAAGTATTTCAACTCTTTTTTGGTTTTCAAAAGATTTGTTATGTTCCTTATTTAAATAAACTCTTAAATTTGATTTAGAAAATGTCAAATCTCTCCCAACCTAATATGAAATGGGCCTGTAACCCGAGCTTCGGGTCAATTTAAGCCCGGCCCCGAAGCCCATTTCTTTCTTCTTAAGTACAGCTGGACTCGTTGGCTCTGGGTTCTGCTTCGACATATCTTCTCTTGTCTCTTGGATCTCAACCACAATAACAACGATGGCGAGCACCAAAGTTCAGAGGATTATGACTTGTACGTTTTGTATCCTTTTCCTTTACTTCTTTGTGTTTCAATGACTTCTATTTGTTGATTTACTTTTTTTTTTTTTTTGCTAATTTTTCGTGGGTTTGTGTGTTTCCAGAACTTGATTTTCAGATTTATTCAAAGCGTAAGTGATTTCCTCTTCTGGGTCTGCTTCAAGTTTGTTTTTTGTTCATGGGTTGATGAGTTTTGGGCTTGTTTTGGCTATTTTTTGTTTGCATATATTCAGAAAGCTCGCATTCAAATTTCGCTTTTTGAGCAGAAGGATTTGAGGATTGAAGGCCGAATCATTGCAAGTTTTCATTTTTTTTAAAGATTTTTTCATTTTATAATTCTCATTTTTGTTTTTTAGATGTCAAAGGATTATTAACTTGGAATAACTTAGTAAGATTTTGACGCTTTGTACTTGGAATTTTAGTTGGTTTTTCTACTACTTTTAATCATAATTTGTTGCTTGTGTCTTTAGTGGAAATTCTGTATGGAAAAAAATGAGTATGATAAAGGATGAAACCGACTTTGAATAGAGTGAATCCTGTAAGCAAGAAATTAAAACGAGAAGGTATGAGTTTAATGGAGAAAAACTAAGATATTATGAATATTTTTTTTTCCTTAGGGTAATGTGAGTTAATTATCCCAAGTGCATTATGTCTTTGGTCACGCAATACAATGTCTATTCCTTCTCCGCCCTTAGGGCATAAAGAGGCTTGTTATAGTGTCCTTATTTGAAGAAATAGGTAACTTTGAAATTTTTTTAATATCAATACAATTCATAAGAAGGGGGAGTGTGCTTTATGAATTGTATTGTACACACGAATAAGTTGGTGGATTATCTTTTTCTTTTTTCTTTTTTTTTTTTGAATGCTTGATGATGTTAGAGATGTGGTATTTGTTAGTTTGCAGTTTTGGATATATAGTCGTTAATCACATTGTTTATGTTGAATAGATCTGAATATTGTCTGTATGTTATTTGTTAGTAAGTGCAAAGGTTGGATTTGGAAGTTGCTTACATGCTCCACTTTGCTGATAAATAGTGTTTTTAGATATAGATAAATTCACATTCTTTTGTCGGAGTAGATTTGTTTTGTTAATGTAAAATATCAAAATTCTTGTCTTGATATGTTTGTTTCTGTGGTATACCTATCATTTTGTTATATTTTCTGAAGTTTTTCTTTTCATCTTTCATCTCATGCTGTTTATGGTGATGTGTTTCATCTTTGCTGTTTCCAATCTATTTATAGTTCTCATCAAGTATACACTCTGTATAGTACTAGGTTGCAACATCGTCACTACCCCATATCTGAAAAGAAAAATAAAGCACCGTAACACAAAGAAGAAACAGAAATTAAAAGATGCATCTTTACTGGCATTTAATTTTGCAATTTCTTGCTCTAGTTCCTTTATGATCTAACTCCTTAGCATGCTTAGCTTTTGAACCTCCAGCCAATCATAAATATAAATGTAGGCTGGCTTCGTGTTGAATTCAACTTTCGAACAGCTCAGTTTTCGTATTTGTGATATCCTTTCAAGCATTCTGCTCTTATGTCTTCTATAAGTTTAGTTTGTTTCATTGACGCATTCTGCTACTAATTATTATGATAGGCTAGGGTTTTGATTGGCAAACACATAAGAATATCATTCTACTCTTCAAGTGGCACATTTGTTTCAGCATGTCATTTTGTTGCTGACTTTCCAACTTGGAATGTGTAATATTACTTGTATTTCCTTCACTTCTTTAATCTTCAATGATAATAAACTCACTTATGAGAGTAGATATCATCTTATCTTGTCTCTTTGTGAACATTTCTTCTCCTTATTATAAGTAGACCTGGCAAAACGGGCGGGTGGGCCTGGTGCGGTGCAGGTCGGGTCTCACGGGTACGGGTCTTACGGGTACGGGCCTGGGCCCAAAACGGGTCAATTTAAACGGGCCCAATATTTTGGACCTGCACCCTACCCTATACAGGTATGGGTGGACTCGCGGGTGCCTGTACTGTTCACTCCAGTTTTAGATTTTTGCAGTTACACCCCCAAATCTTCCTAAAATTTTCATTTTTGAGCAAAATTTGTCACCAACCAAACAGAAAAAAGAAACCCATGTTTTCTCCCAAGTTTTCTCACCAACCAAACAGAAACCCAGAACCTAACAAAGAAAAAGATTAAAAAACTTTATTGATTGCCCTTTCATTCCTCATCAACCAAATAAACCCACATAAAAAAATTTGAAAAAAAAAAAAATTTACAGAAGAAAAGCAACAATTTGAGAATGAATTCTGCAAACAGGCAAAGATTGAACAGATCTGAGTATCCTTTTTTACTGTTTAGTTTTTGAAACTTCTGCCGTAGATTCTCCACTCTTCAGTCGTCATCCCAACCAAAACCTTACTCTGACTTTAATCACCTCCACTCCCCACGTCCCACATGTCGCCTGCTGCCCTGCAGGCCGCAACGCATCCTCCATCGCATCACCAGATAGAGTTAATCATGCCAATGAACAAATGACACCTTGCCAAAAAAAAGAATCTTCTATTTTAAACTACATTGTTACAGCGGAGATGACAACAGTGACGAACGATGCACAGAAGACCCCTGTGTTTCATATTGGATGAGCTCTTAAGGGGAAGAGAACCAATTGGGTTATGCATGAGTTTGATTGAATTTTTCCTTGGGTTTTTGGATTTTTGTTTTTGTTTGATTGAATTTTTCCTTTGGATTTTTGAATTTGTGTGATTTATGTTTTTGTTTTGTTGTTGGGTTTATTCGCAGAGTCCTTTTGTGCTGATGAGAAACGAAGATAGGAGAAGCGGCGACGATGAGTTTGAGAGAGTTAGGGATTTTGCGATTTGGGGCAAAAACATGGCCAAACCCCAATTTAGAATTTAGGGTCTCCCTGCAAAATGAAAAGGGGAAAAACAAACGGGCACCCGCGGGTGTACCTGCTTGACCCGTTGGCAAAACGGGTTGGATCGGGTATGGGTAGAAGAAAAATGGGTCTAATATTAAAGACCCACATCCTATATTTTTTTATTCGGGTTTAGGGTCAACCCGCGGATCTAGACCTGTTTTGCCAGGTCTAATTATAAGAGAGGGCATGTTGTTGTGCATGTGACTTGAACTGAGGTTTAAAAGGGGCATGAATCACATATAACCATGTAACTTGTAGGAAATGAACTCTTTGAAGCAAAGTAAGCCTCAGGATACATTTCTAGGAACATGTGATATTTGGCTTTTAAAATGTATAATACGTTACAATTGCTTTAGCGATGAACATGTCGAAGATAAGAAATCTTTATCCATTCAATTCATGATGCCGGTAGTCTTTTGTTGTTTTTCTTGCTTTCGTTGCAGTATGGATCATGCTTTAAACCTGTCCTTAACTTTTCCCAAAATAAGTAAAATAAGTTAAGACAAATGATATTATTGATAGAAATACCTTCGTTGTAATCATTTATTAGATTCTTAGTACGTTCAAAATGTGATTCAATTTTTGTTATTCATTTTGTTTTACAGGGTTTTGATGAGTACATGAACTTGGTTCTGGGTGATGCTGAAGAAGTCCATATCAAGAAAAAGACCAGAAAGTCATTAGGTGAATGCGCATACTTTAAATTCTTTCTTTACTTTCATAGGAAGGATTCTTCTCAAAGGAGACAACATAACTCTGATGATGAACACGTAAGTAAAAGTAACAACTTTCACTTCTCTTGCTCTCCTTCACATATTAATAATTTCTTTTTGTAAATTGCAGAGGGAAGTGATATGTATCATATTGAGTATTTATATTGGCATTACATGCCTTCTAATTAGCGTGTTGATTGAGCCATTTAGACTATGCTACTATCTTTATATACTGGATGGAGCTGCTTTAATAGAGACATAAGACATTAGATGGTACTGTCGTTATGAATATTTTTATTTTTATCATTATTGAGATGACAAAAAATATTTTTCACAACTATATTATTTCGACAATAAAAAAAGTTGTCATGTAAAAAATATTTGTATAAAAAATTATTTGTCATGGCTATTAAACTTTTTACAAAATTATTTCTGTCACTATACAATTTTTGACAAATAATATTGTTGTAAAAATCAGAAGAATTTTCCTCTATTGTGAACACAATACAACAATTTATATACATTCAAGAATCCAAATAAGGGAATGAAATAATCTAAACTAGGAAATGTTTGATCTAATTTCCTATTCTAAAAATCCTATTCCTAAAACATATGATCTTATTTTTAAAACGGTTGATTTGTACAACTTAATACTGTCCCTTAAGCTGGGGCATATAAATTATATGCATTAAGCTTGTTACAAATAAAGTCAATACGAGGACCCTTAAGTGATTTAGTGAGAATATTTGTTAGTTGATCATCTAAGCGGACATGACTAGTGGTGATGTAACCGGATAAGATTTTCTCTCTGATAAAATGATAATCAATTTTTATATGTTTAGTCCTCTCATGAAACACCGAGTTGGAGGCAATATGGAGAGCAGCTTGATTATCACAAAGTAACTTCATCTTTACTTCTTCTGTAAACTTCAATTCTTGGATTAGTTACTTCATCCAAATAAGCTCAGAAGTTGCTAGAGCCATTGTACAATATTCTACTTCTACACTCGATGTGGCAACGAGATCACAGTATTTTGCTTCTGCACTCGATCTGGCAACGATATCTTGCTTCTTACTTTTCCAAGATACAAGATTTCCTCATTCAAGAATACAAAAACTTGAAGTGGAACGTTTATCAGATGGAGAACTTGCCTAGTCAGCATCAGAATATCTAACAATCTGTGTATGACCCCTGTTTTCATATAATAGTCATTTGCTTGGTGTGCCTTTGATATATCTTAAAATCTGAACAACTGTATCCCAATGACTGTCACAAGAAAACTGTAGAAACTAACTAACATTGACAGAGAAGGAAATATTAGGTCGTGTAATGGTGAGATAGTTAAGTTTACCAACCAGTCTTCAGTATTTCCCAGCATCTGCAAGAGGCTCCCCCTATCCAGGTGAGAGCTTTGAATTAGGATCCATATGAGAGTTTATCGGTCTACAGTCTGACATCCCTGTTTCTTTCAAAATATCCAAAGCATATTTGCTTTGAGAAATAACAATACCTGAGCTAGATTGAGCCACTTTGATACCAAGAAAGTGTCTAAGTAATCCCAAATCTTTGGTCTGAAAGTGGTGGAACAAGTGTGTCTTCAATTGTTTAATGCCATCCTAATCACTTCCTGTAATAACAATATCATCGATATAAACAACCAAATATATGCATTGCCCTAATGAGTTATGTTTATAGAAAACAAAGTGATCGGACTCACATCGAATCATCCCAAACTCTTGAATGACATTACTGAATCGTCCAAACCAGGCATGAGGGGACTGTTTTAAACCATACAAAGAGCGACGAAGTTTACATACCAAGGCAAACTCCCCCTAAGTAACAAAGCCAGACGGTTGCTCCATATAGATTTCTTTCTGAAGCTTACCATGAAGAAAGACATTCTTAATGTCTAATTAGTACAAAGGCCAGTGGCGGAGAGCAACCAATAATGAGGGCAGTCAGTGTGCAATACAAATGGTGCAGACAGATCAAATTTTTGATGCAGAGCCGGAAGGCCAGAATGACTAGCTGCAATTAAAGTTGAACCATGGTACGATTTTGCTCGTGCTATAAATTTCTTCTTATTTGGTCTTCCAAGAGCATTATTGTAATACCAAACCAGCTTCACATGAGTGTCATTGGCTTCCGATCCACTGTTTGTAAAGAAAGCTTTTGCCATTTTGTTTGCAGTAAAATTATCTAGAAGCTCCTTTGCAAGATCTTGTGAGATAAATGTTGATTCATGTAAAAATCAGAAGAATTTTCTATATCTCTATTGTGAACACAATACAACAATTTATCCACATTCAAGAATCCAAATAAGGGAATGAAATAATCTAAACTAGGAAAGGGTTGATTTAATTTCTTATTCTAAAGATCTTATTCCTAAAACATATGATCATATTCCTAAAATGGTTGATTTGTACAACGCAATAATTGTCATATAAACAGACATGTGACAAAATAAATATTGTTACAATAAAGTTAATGACAAATAAAATTATGAGCAAATAATTTAATCACTATTCACAATTTTGACAAAACCAATTTTGACATAATATATTATTTTTTCACCATAAAACTTATCATTCCATCTTTAAATGTAAATCAATTATGATAAAATATTACTTGTAATGATAAAAATTGCTTTTTATTGTTACAAATAACTTATCATAATAAACTAGTTTAAAGTGTCAAATTATTGTTGTCACAATAAATAATTAAGCTATGATAACTAGACTTTCTTTTGTCACTATACATTTAAGAATACAAGTTTAAATATGACAACTCTAGTGATCAATACAATTCTTCACATTAGCGAAATGGACGCAATTTTGATATTTATAGTGACAATTTTTTTTGTGGCAAGAAGCCTAAATTTTTGTAGTGATCATTCTTATTATTATTGTCATAGCAGTGGCAGGTATGTATAGTGGGTTTGGTTATTGAATTTGCAGTTATATTTAGAATTCTACTTGTGTTGGTACTTTATTTGGTGCAGCCAGTCGATGACAATTGTAACTAAGTATTATTTGATTTTGCCTAGTTGCTCTAAGATTTAATGGTTAGAAGATAATGTTATGAAATTCGGTTTTTAGGACCAAACCAGAAGGTAATTTTTGTTCATTTACTTAAGCAACCTAGTCCCAGAGTAATAGTTTTATCCCTAGTTTATTTTTGTCCGATAGTTTAGTCTTTTTTTTTTTTTTTTTTTTTTTTTTTGTTAAAGAAAATTGTAGAATACCTTGGAGTTCAATATTCATGTCCAATATCTTCTTTCTTTCATTTTCCTTTAATTTCTACTTGTGCAGTTTACACTGCTATAGTATTTGCTATTATTCTAGGGTCATGGAAATGATGTTGACGTCATAAAACCTACAATGGTAAAACTTTGGAAAGAACTGAAGCTTGCAATTTCATGTGGATTCAATCACAGTGGTGCTACTTGAATATGTCTAATTTTGAAAAATAATTTAAGTTTGTTGATGCGTGATTTTTGATACCAACTAATCGACACGTGCGTAACGTTGATTGGTCAAAGACACACCTGATTAGGGTAGAATGTAGAGTAATGAAATGAGAGCCTTTTGAAGTGGTTCGGATGCTAAGGTAGGAAATCCTACGTCCACTGATTTGTATTAAATATGGGGTCGGTCGCAACAATGACTGCTTACAAATGATTGGTGAAAAGTAAAATACAAAGTTATAGAGAGAGAGAGAGAGAAAGCAAATTCAAGAGTGTAAATGTAACGCCCCACTTGAGGTACGTAGTTAATGCTTCTTCTTTTGCTCTTTTTGAGTTGGTTTATTAGTATTATTATTTGGTTGACCTTTGTGAGTGTTTTTTTGAACACTTGCCTTGATATTGGTTGAAAATAGAAGAGTATATGGTTTCAGCTTCGCCGCGGCGAAGAGGTGTTGTAGCCACGGGGAAGCTGCTGGACATTTTCGCCGCGGCGACAGAGATCCCGCCGCGGCGACGTGCCAACCAAAATGTTTGTTAAGTTTTAGATATTTTCTTCCCTAGGGCAATTTGATCATTCTACCCCTAATTAGTAGGAAAAGTAGGTGGATTGAAAGTTTTTCATGGAGAATATGTATTGTGGGGGTGTTTTTGTAATGAATCAAAGGATAGATGGAGTTCTTAAGGAAGAGTAAGGGCAAAATGGAAAGCTTGTGCATAAAGAGTGTTAAAAGGAATTAAGTCATTGCAAACCCTTCTTCTTCTTCTCCATCGCCACTCTCCCTTCTTACTTCCTCTCAATTTCTCTTTCATTTGTTCAAGGTTTTTAAGAGGCTTTTGGAGTGATTTGGGGTAGAAAGCAGTCTAAGCATCCTAAGGTAAGGATTCTTGCTTTGGTGTGAAGTTTTGTGAAATTTGAGTGTATTTGTATATTGGGGCCTTTGGTTGAATTGTTTAAGGGTAGAGAAAATCAGCAACCAAGAGAAAGGAAGTACTAGTGAGTCTCTCCATAACAAGGTAAGTAAATCCCAACCCAAGTGGAGATTTGAGAATTTTCTTGATTAGGGTTTTAATAGCACTTATGTGTAATGTTGTATACATGTTATATGCTATGTTATTGAGTCTCAAATGGAGATTATTATTGCTTTGTGCTTGTTCATAAATTACATTATGGAAATGAATGTGGGTTGAAAGGTATTTGAGATGGGATTGAAGGATATTGAAAAATCCTTTTTGGAATGTTTATCTTGGTAAATTATGGCTATGTGAGGGAGTTTTCTCCCTTTTTGGATGGTTGAGAAAGACATAGAATCATTGTTATAGTAGAGTTTTTATATAGCACTTGAGTTGTTTAATGAATGCCTAATAGAGGTTTGAGTAGGTAGTGAACCTTAATTCTTGCAACATTGCATGTTGGCATTTCATAATTGCATTAGTGGAGATGAACCATCCATATGCATTATTGTGTATTGAGAATGACTTAAGAAAGAGTAGAAAACTTTGTGTAGGCACTTGCTCTATGAGTAGAGAACTTTGTGAATGCAACTACTCTAAGGGTAGAGAGAATGAGAAGTGCTATGAAAGCAGTATAAACGGG